CGAAGGCACAGAGACGCAGCACTTTTGTGGGCCAGGGAAGCTTTGATCACGCCGCTAGACCGATGAAACTTGCTTTCGACCAGTTATGCCTTTTTCCTGTGGCACTCTGCTGCCGTAGAAATGTCCACGTTTTCTCAACGGCAAGTTTCACGGCTTACACAGGGTTTCAAAGAACTTCTTTGGCAAATGACGACAAACAAGTAGAAAACGTCTTCAGCTCACTGCCGCCAGCCTCCGCCACGTTCCAAAAACAATTTTTCGACGTGCAAGATGGTTGTTCGGTGGCCACACTCGCGCTGCAGCGAGGAAGTGGGAATGCGTGATCCGGCAATTGTCATAGAGACCAGTGGTTCGTTCGTTTCGCAGTAGGCCTACCGGGCGAACGACGACCGTGCTTGCATAACGTAGCGCAGGATGGCGCCACCGACATCATTAGATGCTGGCTGGAAGCAGACGAAGACGTGTTACCTGCTTTTGCCACTATGATTTATTAAATACTTTCAGCGGATGTGATGTGTTACCGCTCGATAATAAATAGGACTGAGGTACACGAACCACTTCTGTCCCACGGTGAGCTGAGCGAGCACTCTGCCATAGACGGAAACAATTTTGTCCTTTTATGAAATTAAGGAACCCCAAGTTACTCGCTTATATTTTTCTATGTAAAAGCAACCATTAAAATATGTGCTTGAGCGAAAAGTAGCCACTTTCCGAGAAAAGTTTTCAACTTCTACGCTTCCTTTATGGTTGCTTCCCTTTGGCTGGAACGATTATTGATGCCTTGCATGGGAGGAAGTGAGGTGTCAGTCATTGTTTCAGTGGCCCCAATTACTTCAGGAGCACTCGTACGATTCTTCCTTGCTGTATTTGCATTTTAAAGGGATGCTGAACCAAAATCTGGATTCCACAAAACACTACGGCAAAAGCGTGCAACGGGATGCTACAAACACCAAAACATCACCCATATAGCGATATCTCGACCATATTTTTTAAAAAAGGAGGCGCATGTGACAGATATGTTGACGTCTTGTCTCTTTGAGAAGAGTTGAGAAGGGGAAAGAATGGTCTTGCGTCTTCCTCGCCTTGTCGCCTTGATGGGGCAAAGCGAAGGGAGGAGAAAACCAGATACGGTTGACACCACGTCCCTCGTCGGCCTCGTTCAATCTTGACCTCTTTTTCCAAAAATACGGCCGTCAATTCAAAATATCGCCTTCCGAGTAGTCTCGTAGGGATTGTAGCGTCCCGCCTACAGCTCCTGCATTGTTTTCTGAAATCCAAATTTCGGTTCACCATCCCTTTAAGGAAAAATGCATGTTGCAACGTGTGGTTTATTCGCTCAGTTGAAATAGTTTTATTGCCCTGCAGTTGTCGAAGACTGAACTGATTTAGTAAATGGATCGAGATTTAAAGGCGTTTTGTGTTTTTACTTTCTATCCCCTTCTATTACAACACTTCCAACAACAATCTTTTTGCTGCAAATATTTGTGTGTATTATAATCACCGTTAAAAATGTTTATGGCACTTTGAGGAACTGCGGGGTTTTCTATAGTACTTGCATCGCTTTTTACAAGGTGATGAACCAGAACCACCTGCTCCAAAAGCTGAATTCAGAGGGGGGGGGGGGGGTCACACTACCACAGCCGTGATGGAGCACTCACACATATTTTTGTTGCAGACTATACTTCTGAGCATCGCCAGCAATGACGGGTCCCGTGTGCTGGACGGACCATGGGACGCCACTGAACCGATCATTCGCGAGCCAACCACGGGAAACAGCGGCTCCCAAAACCCGTCCTGGTGGATTTCAAGTTAGGAGCATTAGGAGCCTGTCAACATTGGTCGTCAGCTGCGATGCCTCCACAAAAGCCGCTATCCCATGCCGGTCATTCGGGGCACGCTACCACAGCCGTGATGGAGCACTCAACCATCTTTTTGCTGCAGGTTGGTTATTTGAAAACTTCAGCTTGCTGTCATTCTAGCAACTAATGTCTGCTAGTGGTATTGTGGCCTAGTGATTGCCAAATTTAACATAGCTCTCTCGAAATTTTCTGACAATTATGTTGTAAAATTTTTTTTTTAAATTGTACAGTTAATGACACTACCGTAAAATACCGGGCAATCGCCCACTCAAAATTTTGAGATAATCATGAAAAAATGGGGGATTGGGCGCTTGTCCGGTCATCAGTTCTACATATCAATGTACTGTGCATATTTTCTCAGATTTTACAAATTTGGGTATGGGCGCTTAATGTAGTATGGGCGGATGCACGGTATTTTACGGTAGTTACTTTCCAAACAGAAGTTGCTAGAATTTATTCTTGCCTTTGTTCTATGCTTTCGTATTTGGTTAGACAGCACTAAACCCCGGTACAAGGAAGATTTTGAAAACTAGGGCAACAGAAAGAAAAGACTATTTAAGATAGCCAAAAGCTCGAATTTCGAGGCAGCCTGGACGAACCCCTTGGGCCAAACTCTGTATCGAACGTATGCATTTCTTCGAAGACAATTTTTATAAGTGTGACCTGCATTTAATATTATAGAATAACCAAAACACGTTTTGGAAACTTATTTTCTCATATCTGTCATCCTGTTTAATACTCTTGATGAACAATGATGGCAGTGTTATTTCGGACGCTCTATGTCCTACGGTTTTGAACAATTGCTTTTAGTCTACTTTTACTGATGGAGATAGTTCCTTCTTACCTTTTGTACCAGATGTCGATTTTAGGTATATGAACCCTATTTCTATAACACCGTCTGAAATTGCGATATTGATGATAACCTCAAAATTTTCAGCTTGGCTGGTGTCGACTCAATTAATACAAAAATTCTAAAAAATACCAAGGGTGTAACCAGCGAATTATTGTCACCAAAAATAAATGACGAGGCAAAGTAAAACTGAACAAAATGAACGTTTAATGGGGTGAACTTTGCCCAAATTAAAGGAAAATAACAGCACGTCGGAGGCGTTGAGTGTCTTCAATGCAACAGGGTCGAGCACAAGCGATAACTGAATGCATAAGGCCACGCGGGGCTTCTTTTATAGTACTTTCCTTTCTAGAACATTCTGTACTCGAACATTCCGTACTAAAATATAGAATTAACCACCGCCTTCTCAAATTTTCAAGAAGCATCGTCTTAGGAGTAAATAAAAACATCTGCCGGTCCCAGGATTCAAACCCGGGACCTCTGCATGACAGTCGGGCGCGGTGCCCACTGGGCTACCCCTAAGCACGCAGTAATATGCAGTCTACTTTTCCAGCATTCGTCTACTGGTTGCATCCCACACGAGCGGAAGGTTGGGAAGGTCGTTCCAATCTACAAAAGTGGCGACCGTCACTCTGCGGGAAACTACCGTCTCATATCATTAACCAGCGTTGTATGCAAGTTGTTACAACTCAATATTTTCTCATGTAGTATCGCATTTGGAATCTACTAACAACTTTTTCTACCAAAATCAGTACAGGTTTCGTAAAAGATATTCATGCTAGAGGCAGTTGCTGGAGTTTACCCATGATATTCATGTTAATATGAACACTAACTCCCAAATATGGTGCCATATTTTTTGATTACTCTAAGGCTTTCGATCATGTATCTCTCTGTCATTTAGTATCAAAACTTTCCTCACTGAATCTTGATTCTCTCACTTTATCATAGATTCGAAATTTTCTTTGGGAAAAACAGCTCAAAAGGGAAAAGGACAAAAAGGAAGGACTACATAGGATAAGTGCTGAATAACAACTGATTTTTCATTAGAATGTGTAGATGGCACTATGTTTGCACGGGCATAGGGCGCACCATGGATTTTGCACTTTCTTCTTCATTGCACACTCCACATGCTAACCAAGATCCAGAAAATGAATCTCATTGTTCGTTGGAGTCAGTGAAGGTTGGCTCACTCAAGATGGTCTGTTTTTTATTATGTAATAGGTTTCCTTCATTTCCTTAAACATTGGGTCTTGGTGTTTAAACAATGCAAGGGTGTTGGAGAACTGCGGTTTGCACCCGCAATCTTGACAGTGCACCGCTAAATACTAGTATCAGGTCCCTTCCAATGAGCTTTGGTGTTCTCAGAGTTCGATGTTCAGGCATCGCCCGGTCACCCAGGTATCCTGGTCACCAGATAGAAATCAGAAACATTAAAAGATATATTTTTGTAATTATTGGAACTTTAAATATTCTGAAATGTTTTCTTTATGCCCAGTAACCTATGGGGCTGTCATGTAATGAATACTCTTACTTGCCTAATTTCTGTGTCCTGGCCCTTTTCAAGTAATTTCATTTGGGTTTACAGCTTTCTTGAATCACACTGGCACCTGCAGTGCACTTACGTGTAACTCATAGTTTGCAGGTATCGGGTGGTTTAGTTCGTCATTGCATTCTGTTCAGAACCTAACATCATTGCATATTTTTTTTTGTTTTTCTTTGTTTTCGAGGTTCTATAGTAGTTCATATAGACTTAATTGCCGTGCAAGATACGATCATTGCCTTCCGCTTGAAAGCTGGACGTAACCCACTAATTATTTTTCAAGAAAAAAGATACGAACATGTTTTACTCAGTGCTGCATCTCGTGTGCACTTGCTTGAAATTTCTTACTAACACGGTGTTCAAACACCTATCTCTGGGAGGTGTACTTGGCTGTAACCTCTGAAATTAACTTGGGACACCAGGCTTGATGAAACTCATTGAATGTGTAAATTTCATTTTGAAAGGTATTTTTTGAGCTTGCCGTGTTAAAATGATTTCAAGCATATGACACAAGTTGGTTTCACTGCTTAGTGCCTGCCAGAATGAATCTGAGTTACCTGCACTGCGCTTATGTATAACTCATAGTTTGCTGAAATCGGGAGGTTTCGTTTGTCATTGCATTCTGTTCAGAACCTAATCACATTCCACTTTTTTTTTCCAGGTTCTGTAGTTTTCCGTATGGACTTGATTGCTCTGGAAGTTAGAGATTACCTTCCACATAAAAGCTGGACATGGCCCACTAATTTTTTCCCAAGAATAAAGGTATGAACAGGTTTTACTCCGTATTGCATCTTATGTGCACTTGATTGAAATTTCTTACTAACACGGTGTGTAATTATCTCTGAGAGACACAGTTTGTTTGACAGCATGCTTGAAGAAACTCATTGATTGCAGCAATTTTGTCTTCGAAGGCATTTTCGGACTTCCCTTGTTAATTCGTAGCATAAGTCTCAAGTTGGTTTTGGTGTCTAGTTCCCGCGAGGAGTTAAGCTGAGGCTCTTGCAATGCGCTTACGTGTAACTCACAGTTTGCAGAAATTGGGAAATTTATTCTGTCATCGCACTCTGTTAATAATCTAATCACATTCCATATTTTCTGTTTTGCTTTTCTAGGATCTGTAGTTCTTCATATGGACTTTATTGCTCTGAAAATCAGATTGCCTTCTACATGAAAGCTGGAAATGGGCCACAAATTATTTCTTGAGGAAAAAAAGGTATGAACATGTTTTACCTAGTACTGTATCTTGTGTGCACTTGCTTCAAATTTCTAACAGTGTTTAAGCACCTGCTAACCGCTGGGATGCGCAGTTGGCGTTAACTCTTGAAAGTAACTTGGGCCCACAACCTAATCACATTTTATGGGCGCTAGATATTTAATTTGAATTGTTCCGGCATCAAAAATTAGTTGGCGTGTTCTCCGTAACTTGCGGCACCAGAAAGCTGCAACTCTCAATCACTGAGCTGCACGTCAGGCGTGACAACGGGAACCATTCACACATTAAAAATTAGTTGCCGTGTTATCCACACCTTGCAGCAACGGCTAGAGCCGGTTGAACTGCTAGCTGCAATGATCTAATAAAACGGACGTCTCAGTGAACAATAATTATATTAGTAAAATGCTATATTTATTGTTCACTGAGGAGTCCATTTTGTTAAGTCACTGCAGCTAGCAGTTCAACAGGCTCTGGCCGTTGCTTCAAGGTGTGAACAACACGCCAGCTAATTTAAACGATTCCCGCCGTCACAAGTTACGGAAAACATGGCAGCTAATTTTTGATGCCGGAACAATTCCCGTATCCGTGCATCACGTCCGGTACAGTGACTGAGAGTTACAGCTGTCTGCCATGCTTCTACGGGTCAAGTTACGGGGAAAACCGTAGGGCCTCATTACTCTCATGCACGTAATACAAAGTTAATGCTGTGACCGTGATGGAAGACAACGGTAATTGTACCGGCATCAAAAATTAGCTGGCATTTTCTACTAATTTGACGGAATTTGTTTTTACAGTGAATGTACTTTTTGTCAGGATCCGATGAGCTTGGATTGTGTCTAACTCTGGACCGGGAATCTTCGACAAGTCCAGCGTGTAATCGACGGCGAAAGGCCCTGTACAGCGCTATTTGTAAGTGCTTTTTATTCTAATAGTCCATGAAAGACGTTATGATTGGTTACTTTTGTGTTCGAAGTCAAGTTTATTTCATTTTTGCTGTTCAAATATGGCTGTCTTCTTGGCGGTAGATGTGCGCTGTAGTAAAGTCCTCCCAGTAGGTCCAAAGCCGAATGCCACAGATCGTTGAGTTAGTCCTTATTTGCCAAGATTCGGCTTGTTGGGTGCGTGTGGAGTGTCAGTTACGTCACTGCGATATGTGAATGTATTTGCCAGTAATTGTCTTTAGTCGACGATTTCTTTTTATATGACTGATTTATTTTAAATTCTTGATTCATTCAAATGTAATGTTCTTTCCTATAACAGGGTATTTATTCGACTTAATTTAGTAGTACATTTGACGGTGGTGAGCTGAAGAGGAAGGCCAGCGGTTTGATTTTTAACTTGTAAATGATATGAAGGCAATATGGGTACGTTTATGACTACATATTTCTGTGCCGCAAATACCGTAAGCCTTAAAACATTTTTTTTTTGTTTTCAAATCAACATAGAAATGTAGGTGTTAACTTAAATGGCGAGGTTGTAATTATCAGTTCTTAAAAACCGGTGAAAGGAAAAAAAAGTTTTTTTTTTTAAAGTCTGGTTGGGGCACGCGTGTAAAAAAAATTGAAGTGAAAAAAAATTTTATTTTAGAGAAATATTGGTGGCGCGAGGTGCCTTGCAACTAAGTCAATAGTCACCTCCTTTCAACTGCTTTTCTCTTAGCATTCGGGCGTGCGGAGGAGAGGTGAATCGGCTTCGCCTTTACGTTGAGGTGGAAACAACAAATGACCATCTCGTTGAGGTGGAAAGAGCAAATGACCATTCTGTCATGTCGTGGACTTTGCCCGCATAATTTCAAATCAATCTTTTGCCGTCAATATTGCTCTAATTTTTTTTTTTTTTTTTCGCATAAAAGTTATTTTTTGACACGCGTGTCCCAACCAAACTGCTTAAAATATTTTTTTTTCAAAGCCTTTTTAAGGTTAGATGAAGGGCTGAGGGTCACTATGATGTTGCAGGGTTCGACTTAAGCAATTTATAGATTCACCTTCCTACTATTTGAAAAAGAGAAAAAAGAGCTCTAAATTTGACCTTGCAATGCAATGCATTCAGAGTGGTGCAACCAGTTCATTCACATGCAACGAGAAATTTAGAGCCCACATCTATTGTGCAGCTAGCTGCATGATGAAGTGGCACACATGAACAGCTTGCTGACTATCTCGTAGTGTCGGTTGTGGCGGAGCTTAAGCATGCCACGATGCATTCTTTGTTTTGACATGTGGCACATTTATCAATTATTTTAACTCTTGCGAATCAAAACCTGTGTGTTCTTGGGTTGGGCTACTTTTATATTTATATACATTTAGAATTTGTGCATTTTAGTATGTATAATTGTTTTTTTTAAGGTTAAAATGTACTTTATGGCAAATTAGCTCCTTGTAGAGTTGAAATTACATTGAATTAATGGTCTCCCCAAACTGAGATGTTACATGAATTCGCTAGCTTTTTTTTTTTTTTTTTTTTTGTAAAGTTGTAAAATAAACTATAATATACGGCAGTCAGCACTGAACCACAATAGATTGTTCACACTAACTAATCTATAAAAACTTGGACGAGTCTACTTGGACCAATCCAGATGTTAAGAAATTGCATTCATCCTACCCTTCGGGAAAGTCTGTATAAATATAGAGCTATGTTTTTTGCCACTGTGGGCAGAGGCCAGCTGAATTGCTACCGTTTGGAAGGTGGAGGGGTGATGTGCAGGGAAGCTAAACCCTGTCCCCCTCTCCCATATTGTTCGCTATAGCTATTACAAATGTCAGGAAAAAGGGGGGGGGGGGGGGCAACGGCCCCCTGCCCTTGCACCCTTGTCCCGATGCCATAAATAAATGCAACCACTTACGGCTGCCATTGCATACAAAGGAAAAAATAGAGAGAGAGGGGGAGAGATCTGGATTATCTTTCTTTTAGGTGTTCATGTCAGAAGGGGTACTAATGGTTTTGGATGGTTGCGGCTGAGCGAGCTAGCCATGAGTACTGCCTAAGTGTTCGGTTCGGACTCTTGTTCAATCGGCAAAAATGCAAGTCCCAGCCAACTATTCAAGTATATTCTATGAATGGCTCCTGGGATTTTCGAAAATGGTCTATTGTCTTGCAAATGAGTGCACTGGTATTAACTAAGGGCACTTAGCAAGCTTACTCTTTTTTAATATTTCTGACTTTACATTTATGCATTCATTCTTCACAGGAGGAGTGGCACGACGGATCGACCTGCCCGGTGATGCGCAGAGATGAAGAGGACTCAAGTGCCATAACTCTGGTGTCGGAGGACCACTTCTTTGAGGTGACGGATATTGTGGCTCGTGCTGTGCTCGTTCTTGCACTGCACTGGGTCCACGACATATCTTACCGTCAAAAAGCAAGCCGGTCACTCGCAGTGATTGGGCACTTCATTGGTTTGAAGTACAAGATAAAGTCCGTCCTGGCTTTGGATCTGATATCAAAGTTAGAAACTTTTAGCCAGTGGGAATGTAGGTGCCAGTTTTTTTTTTTTTTTTTGCCATGTGCTGAAATTAAAGTCTTGGTTTATTAAGCTTTTTTCTACTGTTTTTATTCTTTCCATGCTGACTTTTCATGAAGACTTGTAGCCTCTGTACAGGCTCATTAGCTATGTGCCGTTCCACATTTCCTATGCAACTATCTTGTAAACATGTACATAGCCGATTTTAGATTTTAGGGCTGCTGTTCATTGCAAAATACTTGAGTTGTCCCTAGTTGTATGCAACAACTCCTGCAATAAGGCCGAAAGCATTCCACATTACAGTGAAATCAAGAGAGGTATTGACATTCATAAAATAAGTGCAAAAAGAAAAGTACAGTGGTCGCACTTTAACTGGCTAGAAATGCTGATTGCAAGTAGAGTTCTTTTTTCCTTTTTTACTTTTTTTCCAGCAAACTTTTTATTAACAAACAGCCAAATTTACACTTTTGTTCTAATTTTCTTTTCAGGCGTTTCTGTTACTTTTTACTGGGTTAACTTGCACTCAACAACACAACAAAAACAACATATAAGAGTATAATTGAGTGGAGTTTGTGTGACCCCTTCCTGGAGAGTGTGTTTAATTCTTTTATACAGAGTTTAGGCACACGGGGGTGGACTTTACACAAATCTTTGTGGAGATTAATTGACTCTATTAAAGAGTTAAGCACTCTTCGAAAAGGGGTCACACAAACTGCTCAAGTGTGCTGTTACTTGACATTAACTCTCGCTAGAGAGCATACTTAACTATTTAGTATGAAGTGTAGGCAACACTTCTAATGGAGTTTTATTTACTCTCCTCAAAATGGTCATCACAACTCTTCCTAGAGAGCATGCTTAATTCTTTAATACAGAGTTTAAGCAACACTTCTAATGGAGTTGTAGTTACTCTGCACAAACAAGTGAAATCAACTCCTCCTGGAGAGTTTTTTTAACTCTTTACACAGAGTTTAGACAACACTTTTAATGGAGTTCTCATTACTCTACACAAAAAAGTGAAGTCAACTCTTCAGGGAGAGTATGTTTAACTCTTAAGTACAGAGTTTAGGCCACACTTCTAATGGAGCTGTAGTTACTCTACACGATGGAGTGAAGGTAACCCTTCCTGGTGAGTACGCGTAACTCTTGAATACAGAGTTGAAGTTACTCTACATGAAGGAGTGAAGGTAACTCTGCCTGGAGAGCCTCCTTAACTCGTTAACAAGGAGTTTAGGCAATACTTTTGATAGAGTTATAGTCACTCTACACAAAGGAGTGATATTAATTCTCGTCAAAGAGTTTAGACAACACTTTTTATGGAGTTATAGTTACTCTACACAAAGGAGTGAAATTAACTCTCACACTTACACATCGAAAGAGTAGTGCTGACTCTGGCAAAAGTATTGGCATGACTCTTTATAGAAGAGTTAAGTGAACACTCGCATGGCAGAGTTAAACTTACTCTCGTCGTTGAAGAGTAACCGTTACTCTCAATAGTGAGTGTGGTTTGCGACAACCCAGATACTCTCCAAAAAGAGTCGAGTCGACACTTGTCGACTCCTTTTTTTTTAGAGTGTGGCACAAAAACATCGAGCAGTAGCTGGCAAACATGAAGTGTCGTAAGCGTTGACGATGCAGTGTACCGCATGACGTTGTTGCGAGCATTGTGTCTTTCTTGGTTTGTTTTATTTTATCTTGAAAGGAATGTTCTCAATATACCAAAACACTTTGTTGGAGGAAAATGCGCTGTTCTTCAGTAGAAGAGCAGCACCTGTTTTCGCATCTTCAATGTACTCTTTGTACCCGACCTCGCTGATTGTTCGGTCGCAAGATACTCAAGCTATTGTGCGCTGTTTACTGCGAAACGTTCTCGCTTCCATTGTGTTTCCGTTACGCAGTCTCTTATTGTACTTCGAAAATGAACAATCTTTATATAAGAAAAATCAACTTTTGTCAACTGTTATAGGATGGGCTCTAAAGCTGCGTTCCGCAAATCTCTCGCAGGTGTGTGCCCAGCGGCTCCCACAGTTCAAGCGCTGCATATCAATGCAAGACGCCGGATATTTTTAAGCTGAGCAACCTCTTCATTGTTTTTCTACTCTGCCAAGTGACCACACGCGTGCTCGCCAGCCATGTTTATTGTGGGGGCTTTCGTAACCGCGCTGCCGCAATTGGCAGCCCGGGGGCCAACTGACACACCTACAATAGCATAATGTAACATCCTCGTTTTTTTGCATAGTGGGATTATCAGTATTTTTAAGGTACATAATCCTTCAGATACCGTATTTTCAGGAATAATAGCCGCACTGTTTATAACGAAAACCTGAGAGTTCGCTTCTCCGCGGAGCACGCGGTTTGCCAATTGTTACGATCGACAGCGTGATTCTAGCTGTTTACAG